CCACCTCCACCGACATCTATTCCTCAACCTGTGATGCATCCGGCGCAACAGCCTAGTCCACACATGGCTCATCCGTTCCATCCTCATCATCCCTTAATGCATCATTCATTATTTACTGCGATGCATCCTTACCATCCACATGCTTATCCTGGATATGCACCTGTTGGTGGCTATCCCTCGTTTTCACCATACTCGTATGGACCAGTACCACATGCTATCCCACCACCATCGCCGCAAAGAAGCCAAGAAAATACAACAATGATGACAGCTCATCACTCTAGTACAAGCTCTAGTGTAACAACCAGAGAAGAAGGAGAAAATCTTATTGCCACCCATCACCATTCTTCTAGTATGCACCAGGCAACCACCTTACATCACGACAAACTGTTAACCATCTCCTCTCATAGTTCTCATAGTCACTCTTCATCACATAGTTCACATAATACTCAGCGTAAACCGTCGCTCGTTTCAGCAACGTGTTTAACGTCGACTAGTTCTGTACACCACCATCATCGACCTCCTCAACCACAACCACCAGTTGTACAAGAACCAAAGATGGAACAGGATCTTGGTGAGCCAGAACCAGAGGAACCGCCAAGTCCACGCGGACCTTCTCCTGAACCAAGAATCGAAGATTCTGAATGTCACAGATCACAATCTGCAATATTTTTACGACATTGGAATCGAGGCGAGAATAATTCATGTACTAGGACAGATTTGATGTTTAAACCTGTGCCTGATTCTAAATTAGCTAGAAAGAGAGAAGAAAGATCAAGGAAACAAGCAGAGAGAGAAAGAGAAGAACGCGATAGAGTTGCTGCACAACAGGCTAGAAAAATGACAACTCCAGAAAAACAACCTGAAACTTGTAAACCGCCTAGTCGAGGTCCACTCGAACCTGTTGTATCTCCATATGATAGGTATGGAACAAGACCAGGGTCTTATACAGATACACCAGCTCTAAGACAACTTTCTGAATATGCAAGACCACATGCAGCATTTTCACCTGCTAGACACCCTGCTCCACCCGAGTCGATGATCCATTTTATGTATGGTCCGGCTGCGAGGGAACGTATAGAACTAGAACATTTAGAACGTGAGAAGAGAGAACGCGAGATAAGGGAGCTACGTGAGAGAGAATTAAATGATCGTTTAAAGGAGGAACTATTAAAAGGAACGCCCAGACCAATGCCAGCTCCTGTTGATCCGCATTGGTTGGAAATTCACCGACGATATGCGGCTGCAGGTCTCGCAGGACCTTCGGGACCACCACAAGCTTTGCATCAATTTGGTATATATGGAGCTCCGCCAGGACCGAGCCAATTAGAACGAGAGCGACTAGAAAGATTAGGTAATTATTGTTTTTTGTTTTTTTTTTTAATCATTTTATCGATATCTACTCGTCTCGAACTTAGCCAGTTACTTTCTGTAATTATTTATAAAGATATTCTTTTGAACGGTTAAGTGAAAGTATCTTGGAGGAATGCAAAGTGCTGCAGTGACGAGTGGAATGTATATGTGAAAGATAGAAGATAGTATAGTTTACTATTTTTACACCATAAAACAAAAATGGTATATTTGATCGAGGTACTATCGGGTTTAGGGATACCGACTGCAGCCGGCGGGGGGCCAGCGGGTGGAGGGGCTGGCCATCCCGTAGCGGCTCATCACCATGGCCAGCTGGACGAGCGGTTGGCTCTAGCTGCTGACCCAATAGTCCGGTTGCAGATGGCTGGCATCTCGCCCGAGTATCACGCTCACACTCACGCGCATACGCATGCGCATACGCACTTGCACTTACATCCGGGACAACAGCAGGCCCAGCAACAGGCTCAGCAACAGCAGGAGGCAGCTGCGGCTGCAGCTGGATTCCCCCTGCCTGGTAGGTGCCAGAGTCAGGATGTTCTAAGTCTTTCTTAAGAGTCCTTTTGACAAACATCTATGACAATAAGTTTTCATAATCTATCGCTTTACTTTCTCATGCCATCATGTCCTGGCAATTAAATCTTTCGACCCTTTTTTAACTCTAGTCTTTTATTCGAAGTATAAATAGCAGCTGTTTCGGTTATACAGTTTTTCAGTTATTCACATTATACATATTTAGGTGCAAGTGCGAGTGTACGCGTGAGTGCTATAAAAGAGTAGTATACATAGATATGTATGATTGGGTGTGTGTATGTGATAAAAAGTAAAAATAATTAATCGTTCAATGAATATTTTCTATTTATAATATCAAGATAACTTTAAAGTGTTATATTTTCGATAATAAATATTTATACAATATATTATAAATATAAAAATAAGGACAGTATTATATATATATATATATATATATATATATATATATAATTTTATATGTATATAAATATTCGTAAATAAGTATTACATATATACAGGGTGAATCAAAAGAAGCAAGATACCTGAATATTTCTGTTGGATTTAAAGATACAAAGTATGACTACATCTAATTAAATCTAACTGAAATATTCAAGTGTCTTGCTTCTTTTGATTCACCTTATACAATAGATTATTTTATTTTCAATGATGCATGATTTTAATGGATTTTTCCATATTTGCTTATCCATATTTTATAAATATATATATATATTAGTCTCATATAATGATTAATCATTTGAAACACTTTCCATTTGTGTTAATATTTATTATTTGCATAGCTGCTGCTGGTTCTAACTATCCTCGACCAGGCTTAATGCCCCGTGATCCAGCATTAGGCCTTCATCCAGCGGAACTTCTGGGAAGACCTTATGCAGATATGGCAGTGCATCATGAACAATTGCAACGTCAATTCATGATGGAACGTGAGCGTTTTCCTCCACATGCATCGATCGTGGCTCATCATGAAGAATATCTAAGGTTTGTCTCTTAAAATAAATATTAATACATTCCTTCGTATGATGTAATAAATGAATCAAATATATATTTGATTAACGAAGGATGTGTTTTAGACAACAACGTGAGCGCGAGCTTAAAGTGCGAGCGTTGGAAGAGGCTGCACGTGGATCTCGCCCTTAAACATAATTGTATTTATATTATAATGATTATCCTTTATAAATAGGGATGCAATTAATTGCACAAAACAAATATGGTACAATGTACTGTGCCAGTATGGTGCAAGAACAAATGGCAACATTTGTTCATGATCGTTGATCTTGTATTTAAGATCATAAATTATTTTTACGATCTTTTAGTGACATAATGAGACTTAAAGTGTTACGTAATGTAACTTGTTAGTGTAAATAACGTAGTGACTCATCAAGTACTAGATTTTATTCTAGTAACTTAGAAATGAAAATGATATATAATAGTGCTTTAATGTGTAAATTTCTTTTCTTTTTTTCTTTTTTTTTTACAAGGTATTTGAGGTTTAAGTACGATTAAGTGATTAATCGTTAATCGAGTTCATCTTAATGGTGTGAATGCCAAAATGTTGACCTGGAAAAACTTGATGGATCTGGATTTGTGGAGACTATAAAGGAACTACTACTTTTAATATATATATTTTAAAATTTTTTTTATATTTTTTTTTATATATGTATAAAATTTAATAATTTCTAATTTTTAATTGTTTTTATTGTACTTTCTTTTGTTATTTCGTTAAATCTTATACATTAATATCAAGCCTTTACAAGTAAAGTATTATATTAAACAGTAGAATAAAATTTCCATTTTTATTATTGTGCCCATTCTTGTTTATAATCATTGGGACAATTTAGACTTTCGATATTTATCGTGTATATGAAATAATTTAAGTTAAACATTACATAATTTCTCTCACAGATATTTGTATATTTTCTATAAGTATTGCTTAAGATTAATGAGAGACTATATGTATGGGCCTTTGGTAACAGTAGCGCGAACGCCTGGTATGTAGTGAACATTAAAACAAAGTGACCAAAGTTAAACGTTTGTAGGAAATTGTTGAGCGTGAATGCATAATGTTTAATTAATCATGATCTGCATTGTAAATTAAATAACGAATCATACGATAAATGAAGATATTAATATCGGAAATTTGGAATGATTCTTTATGATTTTTCGAAATATCTTCTCTATTCTAATGACCATTTGAATATGTAAATTACGCTATAATTGAATCAATGTAACTTAGTTATTTAACAAAGTAAATATTTCATACAAACGTGCAATTGAATTTTATATTTTTCTCCTTTTATATATTATTAATATGTAATGTAAATATATTATTTTCGATTTAAACGTTCGATCGCGTTTTTCTTTATTGCTTATTTAGAAAAATAAAAAACAATATAGTTTTATTTATTACATTATTAAGAACATTCTTTTATTCTATATTATAAATGCATTTACAAATATACTAGAATTGCTATTAATGAAACAATTTTAATGATATATATTTTATATTAGTAATAAATTTGTTTATTTTTCAGCAATAGATTTTTTATGAGTATTTAAAAATATATTATTCCAATATTGAGAAATAATGAAATTTGAATAATTAAAACTTTCACTTGTAACAGTACAATTAATATTTGGAAAATTTATATTTAAAATGAAAAATAAAAAGAGAAAAAAAAATATTTTTTTTTTTTAATTTATAATTTTCACAAAAAAATTGTTTACAAGCACGGCGGCGAGAAAATTGAAACATCAAGTTGTTAGTAACTATTCGTCACCGTCTGGAAACTGTATGAAAGTGTCCTAATTAGTTTTACAGATGGAATTTGTTTTCCGCGCCCTACTACCAGTCAACGGCTTGTTTTTATTGAGTGTAATGTGAAACTCAACTCCTGACCATATTACGTGGGAGTCTTGGCGTCCGCAAGTACTCGCTTATATTCATAAGAGTTAAATATATTTCGTTATTCACGTCATCCATAACACATACAAAAAATATTAATTGATGGATGATTTCGAATAAATCTATATAATTAATTCTGATCATTTTTAATTATATACTTTCTTAACGTATATTTATTTGTTTAATAATGAATTTATATTTCTTTTGATTGTTTAATCTGAATAAATTTATATATATTTAAGTTAAATTTTGGTTGTCTTCGTTTGGCAAAAACTTTATTTTTTAAAACACTTATGTATTCTCTTGTGCGTCGTTATACGATCCACACGGCCCTGATCCCATGCACATGTTTTCACATATGTTCCTTTGCAACAGGGGTTGGGGTGGGGATTGGCGGTAACACATGAGAGGGGACTTCCACAAACTGGAGGAACTAAAAAGGAAATAGGAGTAATATTCATTCATAAAGACGTTCTTGTTGCGACTGGACAAGAATTTAAAAAGTGTTTGACTGAATTGAAAAGAAAATCATTTATATCATCATCTTAAAATAAATATCTAAACAATGACTACACGTAAAAAAGAAGAATCAAATAAACAACGATATCAAGCTAACGCACGTGAAAGAGATAGAACTCACAGGTAATATAACATTTCAGTTAAATATTTTTTGTGATTAGTATAAAACATGAGCCAATAAATCATTAAAAAATGCTATATATATATATATAACATTTGTATATATATTTAGATTTATTTTTAATATATATAATTATTATTTAATGATAGATTGGTAAAATTAACGATAAAAACAATCGATAAGATTTCTTTTTGCATACAGTATTTTTCAATGATTTTGTTTAGTATGTTTGTGTTTTAGAAAGGTTTCCTCTCTCCTCTGCATTCTTTGGAATAATTTCAAAACAAAGACTAATTACATCTTCCAATGCTCACGGAGAGGGAAAATAAATTATTTTCTATCACAGAGTTTACTTGGAATAAAATCATTGAAAAACATTGTCAATAAATACAGGTTCACGATTCAAGAAAAGCAATCTTCACTGTGCAGCGTGAATACAGCTTTCAGCGCACTGAGAACATTGATTCCAACGGAACCAGCAGATAGAAAATTATCCAAAATTGAAACTCTCAGATTAGCGAGTAGTTACATCAGTCATTTGGGTGCAGTTCTTGTTGTTGGTGCTATGGATCAACCTTGTTTACGACTAGAAGAAAGTAGTCGAGTATACTCAATGGGTGATTGGAATGATATGCAAACTAGACCACAAGTTTGCACTTTTTGCCTCGCTATGCATAAAAAATATGTAAGCAGGCAATACTTTTTCTCAATATTTTCAATCATACATAAGTTTATTATATCAGAAAAAGTCTAATGATTTCATTTATTTTCAGAACACAAATGACAATTCGGAAATTCTTTCTGATTATCCAAGTCATAACATGACACCATATATATTTGTTCCAGGGAATTCTGCAAAGTGTATTGATTAAAATTATATAGAGAGATATACATATATTAAAGAATATATTTCTTGTAAATTTTCTGTAAATATATTATTTTAATAAATTTCTTATATACAATAGAGTTTCTATTACGAGGATCCATAATGGACTGGTATATACACACCATATATGATTTAATAGTTTATGTTGTCAGAAGTTTTAATATTTCATGCATTTGTGTAAGGAGAAACAGAATAAAATTTATATCTAATAAACTTAATATTTATTGATAAAAATTTTAACTATTTTTTTTAAGCGTGATGCAACTATTTATTTATACATTTATCTTTTGTTTTTGTATATATATATATATATATATATACATGTAATGTAGATATATTACATTTCACATGTAAAAATGTTCGTTGCTATCGATACGAGTCATTTGTTTCAAAGCAAACATTTAAGCTTCAGCGTCTCCTCTGGTACAACTATGATCAAAACAAATTTGCAGAGAAACATTTTGATCCTATTAATAAGAGAGAGATTACCTATTTAATATAATTAATTTTATTATATATATATATATAATCTTCTTTAATTTTAAAATTAATTAATTTGAATAATTTTTTAAAATTTTATAGGCAAACAAATAAGGACTTATTATTAAAGGAAGTGCAATTACTTGGTAACGTAGTAAGGCGGCGAATGTTTCAGTCTTCAAAGTTCAGCCATGCAGTGAGGAAGCATATTTTAGTTTTTTCCTCCGTTCTCGTTTCTCGTTTCAATTTCAGTGTTTTTATTCCCTTGTTGATTAGAAAGTATTTGATCCGCCATCATGTTGATATTCGAGGAAAACCAGTCTGGAGTGTTTATAACAAATTAGGTAAGAATTCAATTAAATATTTATCATCATTTATTAGTATATATGTCCAAAAGAAACCGACTATGCTTTTATGGTGGAATGATACTAAATTAATATCTAGGTTTTTCCTTTCTATTTGACTTTGTATGCGACAACAATTGTATCAAATGGTATTTCCTTTTTTTTCCCCCACAAATAAAAAAGAATTTATTCGTTAACATAAATTATTGTAACGTGCAATAATTTATAACAAGTTTTCTAACTCGTCATCTATGAATAAGTGATTTTATCATAGTTATACGATGAATGAATATATCTAAAATAGTGCTATATATACTAAATAAACAAACATTCTATCTATTTTTTTTTTAATAAGATAATATGTGTATGAAAAACAAAGACTATCAATATAGTAGATTTGATATAGATATTTACTAATATAAGAGTTTGTATAATATACATATGTATATATATAGTTTTTAAATTAACCAAATTTGTAGTAAATCTATAGTTCGTTCATCAAATAGAAAGCATCAGAAATAAAAGTCTTGAAGGTTTTGGTTTTTCTCTAATAAAATGGGTAGAATGAATAAAGAGAAAATAACGAAAGAATAAATTAGGGGAAGAAAAGGAAGGAAAGAGGAAGTAGAGGGTTGCACAAGCCAGAAATTTCGATAGAAATAACATTAAAAACGTATAACTTAGAACAAGCCAAAAAATTGAAATACAGACGATTTGGCGCGCTTCGCGGCTAGTACGGCTGCCATCTTGTAAAAGTGTCTCTGTAGTGTTTGGAAGTTCAGCGAGAAGGAACAGCAGCTTCGCCGGAGGCTGGAAGTTCTTTCAAAGCGGTCGCAACGCTCCTTGGCAGTCCCTGGGCACCCAGGTGACCCTCGAGCGAGGCCAGGGTATTCAAAAGTTGTTACGACGAAAATTATCAAGGCCAGTGGATACGCTTTACACGCCCGACTCTCGCGAAGATGGTGAGTTACTTTAAAACGAAGAAATTTGTACAACATCCCTTAAAGAATTGTACCAACTCTCGCGCTTTTCTGCACTTCTACTATTTTTTCCTTTCGGTTTCGAAATAGAAGAGGATATGCGTCTCGGCAAAGTCTTTCTTTGATTTAGGCCTCACCTCCCCCTCTTTTTTACGCGCGTTTTAATTACCACCCCCGTACAGGTGGCAATTCGTCCTACGTTTCGTACGGAGCGACGTCTTCTCTCGCTTATCAATATTTTTAGGCAGTTCTTTCGCCGACAACTCGCGTTTGATTGACGGCTGGCTTTGGTCGTGAATATCGTCTACGAGCTCGCCTCATCGTCAACGATAACGCGACGCAACGACGACCTGACATCGACGCATAACCTGCCTCTCGACCACAGAAAGGGACCCTTCCAAGTCGTACCGGGATTATATGCGTCTTTTGTTTTTCTTTCCTAGTTCGCACTTCGTCACCGTTACGATCCAAGCGGAGTCGTTAAAGCGGCTGCTTGAGACGTTCGGGTCACATGCACGTGTCTGAAGGTAGTCGTAAACTGCTGAATATCCGTCCGACAGAATTATCGTGATTTTTCCTAATATTTTTTTCACTTATTTTCTTTTTCGCCTTCCTCTGTATCAACATTATTATCAAGTTTAGTACCAAAATAATACTCTTTTTTTTTTCAACTGGAGTAATATAATTTCTATAATTGTTTATCTTTTCATTTCTTGCCTTTCAATTTTTTATATTTTATCTATATAATTTCATTTGATATTTCTCTTTTTTTCTCACTTTTCCCTACTCACTCTTTCTCTCATTGAATAGCCATGCATTAGATTTAGTCTGTATGTGTTTTAATTCAAAGCATAATCATTACTGCTTGCGATAAAATGTTTTTAAATAATTCCTTTTAATTGACAATACTTATTTAATAAAACCTTGTAAATAAAATAATGTTACTATACCCTTGTTGTCTTGTTTAGAGTTCGGCATCAACGGGCGGTACAGAGGGGTCCAGCCCATCTTCTAGCCCTGCATCAGCCACAAGTCTAACTATGGCAGCTCCGAAATATGGTACATTAGTACCTAACCGTATATTTGTTGGAGGAATCTCAGCAAGTACTAGTGAAGCAGAACTTGCAGAACTTTTTTCTCAATATGGTACTGTGAAAGCTACAAAAATAATAGCTGATCGTGCTGGAGTGTCCAAAGGTTACGGTTTTGTTACATTTGAAACCGAAGAAGAAGCCAAGCGACTCCAACAAGAGGTTTGTAATACTATTATTTATACTGATTTGCATTATTAAATGACCTCTATATGTGTACGTTATTTAATATTTATTAAAAACAAAATTTCAATGTAGAAAATAAATTTATATTTTTTGCAGCCTGAAAGTATTATCTTAAGAGAGAGAAAACTTAATATAGCTCCTGCAATTAAGAAACAACCCTTCAACAGATCATTCGATGGTGGTTCTGGCTCACCACCTTCTGTGCCTAGTAGTACTTATTATTATGCAAATGGTTAGTTTTTTTTGCTAATGAAAGTTATAAAAATGCACTTATATTATAAATTTTCAGTATTAATATTTTGGTAATATGTATGTATATATATATATACATGTATTTACACAGCATACATTTGTTAATTTTTATAATTTGATCATGAAAGTATTGTTATGTAATTTCAATTTTATTTATTAAAATACATCTATATATAATGTACTAATGAAAGTATGACTACTTTGAAATTAAATTGTTTGTATAGGTATGGGTCTTACATACCAGAATGGTATGACATTCTACAACGCAGCAGCACCTGCACCAGGAACTCCTATAGCACCACCAGCAGATCCAGCAACAATTTATCAAGCTACAAGTGTTTTTGGTAAATATTTTTTTCATAATTTTTAACCAGAAAATACATAACCACAAATTTTATAAAATTATATTGAAATTTATATATTATCATTGAATAATAGATATTGTTCAGAATTTCATAATTATGTTTAATTGTAGGTCCTCAAGCTACTACTGGTCATCAAACTTTTGCGCCAGTTATGTATCCATGTCCAGGACCATCTCTATACATGCCTCAACAGTACCAATATACACCCATGCCGGTAAGTAAATTATGTTAAACAGTTCTATAATACTTTTTTTCTTATATTAGAATTGGATCCTCCATACATCCTTGCATATTCTCAAATGAGTGTGGGTTCATGTAGCAACCATTACATTAAACGGTATATCGGTTACGGTTTGACAGACAAACAGTTTGATGGGGGAAGCCATACCACCGGCGTTTCTACCCAACCCTCAACAAATGCCTACTTACGTTCTTCTCGACGCTATACAGTATTGAGGTCTAAAGGTACATGGTCTAATGCTAAGTGAATAGCATGCAACATGTTTTTTTGTGCATTCTCTTTATTGTGCCTTCCGCATGGCCTATTGTTGCATGCCCACTTAGAATTTTCATGTCATGTTTTGATATTATACACCAAAGAAGTCATACCACTTATGTCAGTATTTATATGCAATTAATCTAATTTTTTATATTAAAAATATTCTTTTTTCTATCTATTCGAGAACTAATATTAATATTTTTATAGAATTATAGAATTAAATAATTCATTATGAAGACAATACGTTTTAAGACCAAAAGAATATTTGTATTCATCAATAAAGATGCCCATAGTTATTGAACTATCTAAGTTCATGTAAATATAACAATAACGTATGATAACGATATGCACTACAACAATATATAATAATAATAATAATTGATAGATTACTTTCATTATATTATTTGCTTTTTATTATCGTTTCAGTAAGCGATCTCATTTACAAAAGAAATAATTAATTAAATAACAAAATACGAAAGTATAACAAATGTACATGTGTGCAATTAAATTTAATTTATTTGTTGAGTAGTGTTTATACATAAAGAAAATAAAAAAATATATTAACATGTTCTGTGCCGAATCGTTTTTGCTTGATTTTTCATTCAAGCCATTTGATGTTTTGACGCTTTAAATAAATATGTCAGTGTGTACCACCAGTTGTACACAAGGCCTGAATGAAAAGTTTAGCATGTACCATTGATGGTATATGTGGCATAGAACGTGTTAATATATTACTTGCTTTGCTGTACTTATAGCTGTTTTATTTGGCAAGAATTTTATACATAAAGAAAAGAACAATAAAATATATAATCACATATTTACTAAAGTATAAAGTCATGGCATCGATTATTTCAGAATAGATTTATAATATATCATAAACTTTTAATAAATATTATATATGTTTATTTCTAATAGTTTAATTGAATATATTAAATATTTTACTGATACATTGTTTCTTAAATTCTAAGGTACAAGACATTCCAAATACATACATTAAAAATAATGAATATTCGTAATTATTATAAATGTGTTTATGGTTTATATTTATTATTCTTTTCATTTGAGATATACATTCATTTATGTACTTACTTACTTTCCTTGTTCTACTTTCATATAGCTTCTTAATTCACCTAGCAATGATGTACAAAGTGATATGCTGATTTAAGAAGATCTAAAAGCTATAAATTTTATGCAATATGTCATTACATTATATATTTGCTTCATATGAGAAGTTGATTTTATTATCTTTTTTGTAAATTGTAATTTTTAAAGAACATGAATAATTAAACCTTAGATATTTTGTTTGTTTAGTACGAACAATATTACGCAGGAGCAGCTGCTGCTGGAGCTTCACCATACCCATATATTACCAGCAATTCGCAGAGTAACACAAACAATGGTGGAAATAATAACAACAGTGGCAATAATGGTACTGGAGCAAATAGTCCGGCAACAGGTCCACCGCCAACGCTCCCATCTCTTCATCCACCACCTCCTACACATTTTTATGCTCCTGCTGCACCACCACATCATCATCCACCAATGCCTGCAGGACCTCCTCCACCACAAGTGGATCTTTACTATTCTTTTGCTGCTGGGCCACCTCCACCACCTGCTCATGCACCTATTGGATTGTCTGATCATCAACTAGTTATTTACCCCTCTGATACTTCGTGTCAACAAACTACTACATCAGACAGTCAAACTGCTCCGCAAGAGGTAAGTAGAAATTTCGGTGTGTATGTATCACTGATTTAATATTCTCATATAGATTTTTCATAGTCTTTTTATTTGATAAGATTTTACACTTTGAATTACGTTAATAATCTTTCTATGGAATTTCATCGAGAAATATCAAAATATAAGAAAAATTTGATCATTTAGTTAGTATTCTGCTACAAGAGTGTTTAAATCATAAAATATTCACTCTAAGCAGTACTCCTACTATTTCTTAAAATAAATCATAGGATTCACGTTCGACATCAAGCCACTCGGAGCAACCACATGGTGAATCACAAGCTGCTTCTTCAGGATCAGCTACGCCTCTGGTATCCCTAATGCCATTAAAATTTCCTATGTCCAATCGTTACACAAATTACCATCCAATCGCCATACATGCTACTAATTTGCATAACTCACAAACCTGTTTGAATGAAGTAGACGATTGCAGTGCTAATCAAATGCAATGCAGAACTATTGTTTATCATCCTCTTTTCATTCCTCATACATATCCACCACAATTTCACAATACTTCTGGTGGTGCCAGTCTCTTACCAACTCCTCCATCATCTTCACAACAATTTGAGTCCAGCAACAAAACACATCTCAATTCCAGACATTATACAAAATCGAGTATAACAATAACTCCAAGTAACTATGTGAAAACTCAGAATCACATAACAGTAATTAATCCAAACACTTATAGCAAAGTTCAAAGCATAGGTAATTCAATAGAACACAAGTATACTAATGTAGATGGAACTCATAAGTATGCAACAATTGCTATGACACCTTCTCGATTACCAGTTCAATATAACAAACGAGCTACTGTTTCCAATGTGGGCTCTCCGGCTTGTTATTTAACACAAAAATCTGGAAATTACAATTCGAGTCAAAATTTAAGCAAGCCTGGCAATTTTGGATCCAATGTTAATTTTAATAATCAAACATACAATCCATCTAGTAATAGTTCACAGAAGATTGGAAATATGAATATAAATCAAAACTTTGATTATGTGAATGGACGTAAGAATACAAACTATAATGCAGATCAATATTTTGACAACACAATCGGATATAAATCAACGAACTATACCTCAGGTAGGAGGAATGCATCGAATAATTATAGAACCACAGGTTCTGTATCTGCTAACCAATTTGACAATTTGAATAGTAGCAGTCAAAATAATGAATCTTCTACTATGAGTCAAATAGATAGTACCAACTCTTCACAGGGTTTGCAAACTACTGATTCAACAAGTTCAGATAAGCCGGCGAGTCCACCGCCAGCTCCATATTCCCCCATGACTCGACCCCTCCCAACCTTATCACCACCCACCCTTCAGGTCCAGTATTATCCAGCGGCTCAAAACCGTTACCAACCCTCCATGCCATCTCAACACCAACAACAGCAACAACAACAACAACAACAACAGCAACAGCAACAATCTGGCCAACGCCGGTATACAGTAGCTCCACCATTGTCTTCAAATAGGAAGTCAACTGAGAAATATTCAAGTGCTAATACGCAAACAACTATGTTGCGGCAAAGCAAGTATAAAGTTAATAGCATAATGCAATCAGGTGGCAAAGTATCTGAAGATAGTTTAGGAGGTGCAGGTGATGCTCCTCCTACTGTTAGTAGAATGCCTATTACACCACCAGGTACATCCCAAACACATCCAGCTCATCCTGCAGGGGATCAGAATCAATTGAGCGATACATGTCATCAAATACAAGCTCTGACCCTTTAAAAACTTACTTTCATATCTATGTTTGCTTTCTTATTCATTTGAAATCGTATGATCTGAATGTCGGCCAAAAAAATTTGCATGATACTGCATGAATATGCACTGTTATACAATTTCTCTTGTGATCTCAGTCCTAAATCCAAAAAGTAGACATTGAAACTGTAAATTGAATTCTTCATATATAAAATAAAAACTTTATTAAATTATTAAGCAAGCGAGCCCGTGTGGATATGCAATGTGTGCGTAAACATTAATAGAACGCAAAAATGTAACACAATACACAGGCGTACTACATATATACATAAATACATACATACATGCATATAGAAGCACTCAATACGTAGATATACAAATGGAAACACATACAAAAATATTGTTAGTATGAGACATATACACAATACATAATATGTAAATATATACATAGGTGTATTTATATGCATGTATACATGCATGTACATCTATGTATATGTAACATTTAATATAGTATATATATATATATATATATATATTGAAGATGACAGATATAATTAGCATTAAACTCAAAGTCAGTTATAAATTATCTTTTAAAAAAGAGTCAAATATTAATGATATAAACATATATCTTAATAGATATTGATATAATTCATCATTTACATCCATATTATGCAGTATTTGACGTTATGCGTGATAGGCTCGATAAACATGAATCTCACGAGCATGGCTAGAGTAGTTAGATGGATAAGCAAAAAAAGATAGAAACAAATAATCTTGTTATCGTACAAAGATGATCGATTTGTAATGTGTTCAAAAAGAAAAAACAGAGGGGTAATAGGGAGGCAAATAGAATTCATTTCACAACGGTTGCTCAAGGCACTGCCACATCTGTGTTTCTTTTTCTACCTGAAGTGGTATCGTACTTATAGTTTAATTAGAGTGACCGTGAATATTCTCACGCCTTTTAAAATAGAGCGGACACAAATTCATTAATTTTTTTTCGGTAAATTTCCGCGCAAACATCGTATATTTAGCAGTAAAAAAAATATAAAAGTGAAATGCCCTGTGCCCAACGAATAAGATAAAATATTTAAAAAAAAATGAATTAAAAAATGTGTCGGCTGTGAGCTTCCAAGCAAATAACAATAATTAAATTATTATAATATAAAAAGTTAAATAATATTCTACCTAATTGTTATAAACGTAAATTTCTTTTATCTATGATGAGAAATTTGTTATCTCATATCTCGCATATTATAGCTATTATTATCTATTTAAAAATGTGGACAGGAAGTGTTACTCCGAAGGTTTGCATGCTGTGATGATATAGAAATATCACAGCACGTAGAAGAAAAGTTAAAAGACATCGGACTGTATTTAGATGATACATCAAGGCCTAGAGTACGTAGAACTTGTGAGTCGTTACAAAGAAATTAATTTATTAAAAAGCAAGAGTGCCTTCTATTTGTTTTCGTAATTGTATTGTTGAACATTTGTTGCGTTACGTTCCAAGAGCCTTTAATGTTGTTATAAAAAAAAAGATGTTTGAAGATTGTTGTTCCTCTATTTATTTATTGATTTATGGGCTGTGAAGTCCAACAACGCTCAGTATATTTGGAAGTGCGAAAGTATGCTGTTAGGTTGATATTAGAAATCATAAAAATAATGAAAAAGAAAAAAAGAAAAACATAACAAAAATGCAACAGCCCCAATGGTCATACAAATGATTCTAGAAAAAGAGCAGTACATTTCGGCACCTATTTCTATGTATAATACACAGAAAATATCCCAGCAATATACATACATACATATATATATATATATAAAAATATATATACAACAAAAAATTATAACATACCGAAGGTATTGGAAATAAGTGCGACAAATGCGTATCTTAAGTGTGCGTGTGCGCGAATTTGGACAGGTGGCTGTGACTACTGTGTGCAAGTACAGATTTGTATGTAAGCATTTGTGTGTTAGTGTGTCGATTCACACACACGCATATTTCATAAATATATATATATATATCTATCTATATATATATATATATATATATAACTGAAAATCGTATGTAAAGTGCAATTCTATGTTGAGTTTGGTACTGATAAGAATAATAATTATAATTTGATTATTGTTTAGGAGGATCTATGTACTAAAATTTGGCGTAGAATAGTACTAATGTGAAATAAAGGATAATATATACTTCGTAAAGTATATAATACACAAAATGAGTCTAAGTTATATATATATATATATATTAACATCATACGTAGTAAATTACAAGAGTATAAATGTATTATATGAAACATGTGAAGTATGTATGCATTTAGAGCTGTGGAATGCTACATATTATTTCTATATTTAAGTTAGATATAAAAGTTGTTTCAAAATTATTAATTTTTTGCGTGTATAATTTTGTTCTTTCTTTTTTATTGTAATATTACAATATTTGAAAATATTAATAAGTGGTTTATAACAGCAAATAATCAATTACGTGAATTATTTGTAGAACAATTAATCAATTACGTGAATTATTTGTAGAACAATTCTTCCATAGCCTGAGTTTATATTATTTGTATTGGATAAGTTAGATTTTTTTACTTATTTTTGAAAAATTTGATAACTGCAATAAGTAAATACTTTAAAAAATTCAACATATGTTTTGAAACTTATTGAATAAATGTATTCATGTATTTTCAATGTACATTCAATATTTTTATTTTACATTTTGGCGTTATTATGTTACTAATGGTGCATTCCATAACTCATAAAAGTATACTCTGTAAGAAAGAGATTTACGTATTAACATAACATAAATTATACACAAAATGACATATAGGTTGTATCAACAAAATCTGTAAGATTTAAGAATTCTATAGTTATAACAATAATAATAATAATTAATAATAATAATAATAATCATTAATATTAATTAATAATAATTATTATAATTATAGTAATAAAATAATAATAATAATAATAATAATAATTAATAATAATAATTATATTAATATAGTAATAAAATATATTATATATATAAGAAATGCATATATTTAAAACAAAATATTAGTACATATTAATAAAGTCATCTATGCATGGATACCTAGCTGGAGAAAATTAGTAAGGAAAAAATAGACTCAAGTAATTGTACATTTCTCCTGCAAATAAAGAATAATATAATCTCATCGAAAACATGAAATATACAATGCTCTAATATAAATGGAATTTTTTTAATATGTCTTTCTTCCCACGTTCATTTAACAATATATAATTAATGCATATATAATGTCTTATAATATACTCCAATATTTCTTTTCTTCAAATATTTAAATACTAATTTATAAAAAAGTAAATCAAGTAGACTCTGCATTTTTATAAATAAAATGTGTATTCTCTTGTTCTCTTTTACAATATGAAATATATGAAAATTATTAAATAATTATATTAAATATTGATACCTATTTCATATAAAAAATACGAAGTAATAAAACAGGCTAGTAACTTACAAATAGATCACAATATTTAGTATATTTATGAATATCTTTTTTCTAATAATAAAACTTTGTAAATGGCACGATCTTTTATTTTAATGTTGAAACAAGTGCCCTATAAAAAAAGCCTTATATTAATAGAAACTGATATTCTTTCAATGTTATTTATTACATATCTTTTTTTCGATAATACGTTAGTTACTTGCAATTACAATTATCACATATAAAGTTTTAAAATCGGCAGTTTGATAAGAATATTTTTATGAATATAATTTTAACATTTTAAAATAGTACAAATTCGTTATGTTATAGATTTCAATCACAAAACCTAAAGTTATTTACGACATGCTACTATTAACGTGACTATATATATTTGCTCTATATAGTAAGTAAGTTATAAATTTAATTCTGATCTCTCTCTTTAAACAATAGATAGAAATAGTATTTTGAAATGTTTGAAGTACTAATCAAACATATAGTATATGAATATGAAAATCTAATTGTGAAATTAAATTTCAGTAAAATTTATAATTCTGTAGTCATATGAGATGTTAATGCTTGTACGCGACTTGCATTACAACTTTTACATAGCACATGATCATCTAGAGGATAACAACCATGACCTTCTAAATCAGAAGATAATATCAAACCACAATCTTCACATTTATAACACTGAATATGAAAACTGCGATCTAGAGCAACAACTCGTATTGTTTCTTCTTGCCCAGGTTCCGGCATGATGGGTAATTTACACACACAACAACGAGGTGCAAATTTTCTGTAAAAAAGTTCATATTTTTAGTAACATTGTAATTAAAGCACAAAAAATTAAAAGTTTTATTTCTCTTTACAGTCAACTTACTTGTGAAAACACTGAATACAATGTATCTGATTTGTAGCATCCACTGTAAAAGGTATACCATCCAAACTTTGCCCGCAAACTACACATGTAAAACATGATGGATGATAAGGTTTCCCTGTAGCTCTTAATATTCTATCAAGAATTGGCCTAGTACACACGCAACACTTTTCTAAGGTGTTTAAATAATCTTCTTCGCAATAAGGTTTGCCTTCTAATGAATAAAAAGGTTTACCCTGTAGATTGACTTTACAAACATAGCAACAGAAACAATTTATGTGAAAAACTTTATCCATTGCAGAACAGCCTGTACCCTCTCCTTCAACTTTACATCCACATTGAGCACAAATACCATATATATCACTTTCTTCGCTATTATCGGACATTCCTTGAACTAACAAATCAGTTAAAACATCGACCTATAAATAAATATTAATTATTCATTAGAAATCAATGTCTAGTATATGTGAATATTAACAAACACTATTAGTTTCTCAATTTACTTCTTTCACAGGAGATACTTTTCCCTGTGGTTGAGTCGAAGTAGCAGATCCATATCCAGAATACATCGAATAATTGCAAGATAGTTGAGATGGTGGTCTAGGATTAATAGGTTCGTATATAGATTCATATGTTGAGCTAGATTGAGAACTTGGACCATAAATATCATTAGGATAATTTCCAGCAGGAAAATCAGTTTGATAAGTTGCACGTCTTAATTCGCTGTAACTGGATGAGACAGGACTAGGTGGTGGTGGCAATTCTTCGGGAGGTGGAGGAAATGAATTTCCTGGAATGCAAGCAACATATTCTGAAGGTTCGGGTGGTGGTGGTAAATCATCTATAAAAACAATTCAATCACATTATTAAATAATTCTATACTTTCCATTAAGAAGTAAATATATATTATTAATTTTACCATTGGTATGAGAAGGTGGAATATTACTATAAGTATTCTCCGATTTTGGATTCCATTGTATATTACTGTAAATGATATCTTTTTCTGTTTTTTTTTGAGCAGGAACAGAAATAGGCGATGGAGATTCAACATTACTATATACTGCACTATTTGTAGATCTATCATTGCGATCTTCCACTGGTACTTGAGGAGCTGGTAAATTTCCAACATTTGAATAATAATTTTTCTCATCATATCCATATTTAGGTTCAAACTTTTCCTTTGTTTGATGAACGTAGAAATTTTCATTATTTTGATATAGTTTTACAGTCTCTTTTCCATTGGTCAATGTGGGTATATTAAAATCATTTTTTTCCATATTCATTGGTACATATGGAGAAGGTGAATTCATGTATAGGTTTGTAGATTTTTCATTTATTCCAGTATTATTGAGTACAGTACTATATGATGGCATTGGTGCTGTCTTTATTGAATAACTTTGCGGTATCTATTAAAAAATATTAATGACAACTTGTAAAACTATCATATTGATTATAAATATATAAATGTAACAACATATATAATGACATTTTACCATTGGTTGTCCCAATTCAAGACGGCGTATAAATAATCGTTTATTAATATTATATCATTTCCTATCATAAAAAAGAATAATATACTGACCTGGGGTTGACATTTTTTTGGTTTGGGTGGAACAGCAGGGCCAACTTTCTTCCCGGATTTAACCACTTTAATTGTATTATCACCATGATTGATTTGCAAGTTTGCAATATGTTGCTCTAAATTATTGGTATTAGACATTTTCCTGTAAATCAAAATAGACAAATATTTTTAAAATAAATCTTAAAAAATAACGTTCTGGAGAAAAAAGAAAATTATTTGATGTGATATACTCTCTCTTTTGTGATACATTTAAACATATAAATATATATGGAATGTATAAAAATTTGTTGTATCCATAACACTATTTGGCCAGTACAAGATATAATTAAATACTTAGAAAACAATTATACTTATCAGTATAAGTAATTCATTTTAGTATAAGTTTTCACGTTTTTGCAAGAAAGTAACTGACCTTCTAGATATAAGATATTGAATTTGTACAAATAATCGACTTGACAGGCGTAATATTTCGACTCGTATGGTATTAAATCCCTTATCAGAGAAAATTATCTTTAATAGTACTTTATATTTATCTGCTTGCTAAAAGTATAGATTTCAAGTGTGATAATTCCACTATGGAGCTTGTACCACTGAAGAAAAATGTCAACTTACCTGGTGAGCCAAAAAAGTATATTTAAAAAAGAATTTGGACCAAAGTGTTATTGCTAAGTTAAAAAATATTTTATTATTCGTAAAATTTGTTATTTCACTACAGTCACTCTGATCGGCTGATTCACACTGCCTTATCTCATAGCCTCAGGAATTCTTTTGCGATGATTCTTGCATTACCCCCGAAATTCAAAACTCTTGTGGCTCTGCTTGTACCACACCCAAGGTCGAGGATTGAGCTGTTAGCCATATGACTAGAGATATTTAGCTTTTATCAATACGAATTGTAAATTCTTTTTATAGGAGCTTACTGACATATTTCTATGACAGTTCTATATAAATGACAAGAGTAGACAAAATTTATACAAATGTTTTATATATTTATTTTTATTTTATTCTTTAAAGTGTATTATCTTGCTCCTAGGGATTTGACCACCTGCGTGAATGCACGCACTGCACATTGACACATTCCAGACGTCAGACTCACCGAGAAACGTCTAAGACTTATTGGCTATTTTACTTGAAATTAGATATCTGACATGTTTCGATAGGTTAAAAACATTCGACCGATTTTTTTCTATTTCTTTTCTGTATTTCATAATTAACCTCCATATCAGTGGTCTTGATTTTAAACGGAATACAATTTTATTTTCTATCGTTATCTCTATAAAACGAATATTTATCTACAAATCAATGTTATATATATATATGACATTAATACAGAATGCTTTATTTGGCTTATCTAACATATTTTATACATATATCTAAATGAATATGTGCGATATATTATTTAAAATTACAACAAAAAATACATGGTTTGTACCAACTATTTTTCCAACCAGACAGTTTTAAAAAGATTTAAAATAGAAAATTTAAAAAAATTTGTAAATATAGATACTTTTTATTTAAAGATTTGTTTAAATATTTTTCTTTATCTTATCAATGATATTTTGTATTTTATATCGTCGTTCATATAATGGATTTCTCTTTTAAATAATCGTCAAAAAATGAAAGCAAAGAATACAGAGGTATATAGAAGTTCACAAGTCCCCTTTTTTATCTACCCAGATTCATTTTAGTTACTAACGGGATCACCAGTGGGCGATCGCAGGTACTTAAAGCGATGACGGTACAATACTACCAAAGAATATAGTATTCTTTGATAGTATATGATATATTTTTTGATAGTGTATATAGTATAGTTATATTATAATAGAATTTGAAATAATTATATTTAATTTTTAGTGGATAAACATGTGTGTGCTTTCAGAAATGCATTTACAGAAATGCAAATAGAAGAAAATCTCAAAAGTTCGTTGTTAAATCTAACGATTTAAAATACTCGTGTACGTGTGAGAAATCTGAATTCATAAAATGCAGTGAATGTCGAAAAAATTTATGTTTCGTATGTCTGTACGACGAATATCTTCATTTTTATGTAATTATTTYAACACTCCTGCYCAGTGATGACTTCGAAGGTAAAATTTTCCTGTAATATMAGYAAAGTGCATTAKWGCATTAAAATAATTGTTAAATAATCGATRCAAGTGTCTATTGTTGTTTAAAAGCTCRGAATATATGATCTRTGTACCGTCCCCTTCGAAATAYACCGTTGAAATGRATCATTGTCYTCTGTGAAAATACTTTTATTGAAAGTTGTTTATATRACTTTCCGAACGTTGYAAATGTGTAAAAAAGGAATAATTCATCTAATYAATTAAATTTATGATTACAACGATCTGATTTTAGCATTTCTTCGTTTTTATRTAATTGTTTWAACWAAWRTAYATYTGTTTYWACGTTCCTGYGYAGTGRTGAMTTCGRRGGKRRAAWA